GGATAGACTCCAGCCCCCCATGACCCTAGTGAGGATTAAGTGTTGTACAGATGATGGAGATAAAGGCTTATTATTAGTGATATTATTATGTTATTTGCAGTACCTTACAGTACTTTCTAGGGCTCCCCAGCAGCTGAAATATCTCCACTTTCAACATTAAAAAAAAAAAGTGTATTAAAGCAAAAGGAGCGAAGCACAAATGTCACTTTTTCCTGGAGTTTCTCAGATCTCCCGCTGACCTGGTGACGGGAACAGAGAAAGTCGTGTTTCTAAATTCTCCCCAGCGTCTCTTATCCACACAGCCCATTTTGTTCGGTTTGGCCTCTGCGGCGGAGAGGTCACTGGTTTAATTTGGCTTTTTCAGGCTCAAATTCCAAAAAGTAAACAGTGCGACCGGCACAAACAATGGAGAAAGGTGTTTGCTGGCGCTTCTACAGGTGAGGACATTGTGGGTAACGATAAGAGAAAGAAGAAAGAGCGAAGCACTCGGCTGCTATCAGCGGCGTTCAGCGTCGGGCTCATACGACTCAGTGATCCTATCAGAGCCTGACGTTCTGCTCTGTTTGGTCAGTTGTCAGTCAAACCGATACTCTGAGGGAATCAGACAAATTGTACGGAGGCAGAGCTGTGCAGTCTGTCAGCGGCTGATAAAAAAGACGGATGTATGACTGAGTGTGATTGGAGTTCTCTCCGAGTCGATAGTTTCGGGGCTGGATGGTGATAACTAATTACAGTTTGAAGAGAGACAGATAGACGAGGGAAGACAGAGGTGGAGACAGTGGAAAATAATTGGCAGCTCTCAGCCGTCGGCCTGTTTGGTCCTGCAGCTTCCTCCTCTGGTTCATATAGGACGTTTGCTCAGGAAACGTCTCAGATAACGCGACGCCAAAACATGCCGGCAGGTTTTGAAAGGGCACGTTATCTTTTACGCCAAAGTTACAGCGTTTGGTAGAGCAGGAGACTGTAGAAGCAAGCTGGAGTTTCTTCTTTCTGATTGTCCTTGAACTAATCATGTGATCTAAGCTGCAAAACTTGATCAAAATCACGACGTGTCATTTCAAATATATGTGTGTATATCACTGCACATCTAATCTCATAGATAAAAAATAACTAAGTACAATTTGAAAAAAATCAAAAAATTAAGTGCAATTTTAAGGTATCAAATAAAATAGTAAAAGTAGTTACAACTCTGCCTTCATGACCAAACTGTGGCAAATAGGCTTTGAATAAATTCATGTTTTGCTTTAATCTTTCCAGTTTTTGATGGTGAAATGAGACCAGCCTCCTCTAACGGAGGTTTCAGGCCCACGAAGGTTAAAGTGTTTCGTCAGACTCAAACTCTTTATCTAATCATCAAGTAATGCCCATAATCGGGCCGATCACAAAGTTCATTACAATCAAATATCCGTGTTTATGGCTCTTTTCAATTCCGTCAAGCACCTCAAGTGAATAAATATGAGCAATAAAGCCCCGGGGGATGTTTTCTGCGGTGACGACACTGTTCCCAGTGATTGAGATAAACTCTATTGTCATTATTATCATCTTCATTAGAGCCGCTTTTATTGCTCCGCTGATATCGGAGCTGCAAATGAGACAAACAGCAATGAAGGGATGGATTCCTGCTGATGGGTCTATTCATTATGGAGGAGGGAGAGACTGAGTGACAAATTAGAGGGAAGGAATAAGGCTGCTCAACCTGATGATTTAGTTACCTTATTATCTCAGGATATCGCACCTTGATCTCATGATTAACACTTCTAATTATCCCGAGGTATAAAAGACATTATCTCATGATCCTAATTTATCTGGCTCATCATCTAGAGCGGCGTTTCCCAGTCTGAGGCGGCCTCGGGGTGATTAAGAAAGAAGGAAACACACATATATGTTGAGGCAGGTGAAAATGAGTTCAATAAAACAAGAAAAAGTTGCTTTCTTTTGGTTATTTCAATCGGACGTGGCTTAATTTAAAGGGCTCCCGTGGTGCTGCTCAAAGTTTATTAACCCAGCAGATTATTCATGAAACAAAACAGAGGTGAATGTTGGGTATTGAACTCTCCCACGGTCCTTGAACTAATCATGTGCAACATGCCATTTTTGAATTCTGTTGAAAATTAACCAAATCTAGCATAAAAACTGTGACGCAGCACAATAAATGTCATTTATTAAACTTAAAAACTAAATTCCATTCCTCTCCATTGCATTGGTGAAGTTGAAACTTGACTCTAAATCGCTAGACAGGACAAACATTCCACCCTACGTTATATTTGTGTATATATATTTTAGTAATTGGGATGAAACGTTATATCTTTTTTTTTCCCAAAGAAAAAGGAGTCACAAATGGGTAAAATGATCCCTCTGAAAGAAAGTGAGAAGTAACAGTTCTGAGAGGTATACTACGAAGCAAGTTTAACAAAGCCAGGCTTTCTTCATGTAAGCCGGCTCGACAAAAACTAAAGCCCCAGCCAGAGATCACGAAAAAGAGGAGTTCAACGCATCACGTGACTCTTCTTCTGCACAACATGAAACAATCATGTGCAGCTGCTTCAGTCAACACGTTGTTTTAATAGAGAACAATGAACGAAAGATATAAACATCTATGACAGTAAAAAGCGCCGCTACTGCAAATGGTGAAGACAGGAATGCTGGCAGAAAACTGTTGAATGTGTTCATATATAATATTTTACCGATGATGCCAACTGACAGCTGCTCATTACAGTCAAACTTTAAACTTCATACATGTAAACATGATCTTGTATTGAAGTGCATTTAGGTCTGACACTGTCCCATAATGCAGGATTTCATTTTAATGTTTGGCCAAATCAAAGTGAAATTAATGTTATTGATTGAATGTTCTCTGTAATAAATACCAGTAGAATAGTCCATGTTCTGGGTTTTATCAGCTGCAGCAGTTTAAACAGACTTGACAGCAAATCAGAGCCAAACATAAAAACATATTTTGATTTCTGCATTACCAACTAAATATATACCGAGTTCCCATGGCAACGTGATATTTACAGTACTGTAATTACACTGCTTCATTCAGTGATATCAGTGATCAAACCTATTTAAATCGGAAACTCTGAACTTAACCTGCTCCCGACCAGGTTACCATGGAGATCCATCCAGGTAAAAAGAGAGCCACCTTCGTAACACTGAAAACTCACTTTAAGCTCAACATATCCCACTAATCTTGCTTTGTAGTATCGCCCTCTGGTCTCAAACAGCTTTGCATTGGCTGCATTGAGATCAGCTGTTTTGCTCACAGACACAGAGCGTCTCTTCTTCCTGAAGGAGGCGGAGACAGCAGCAGCTGAACTGCATTAAAAGCTACAGACACTGAAGCGGCCCGTTGGGAGCGATGGTGAAATGAATCATCTCTTTGAACTGAAACCTTTGACTAATTTGCGTTGACATGAACTCCAGCTTCTCTCAGGTCGGTAGATTTGCCCTGAATCAGCGTCTTACCGCCGGTCCTGGGTACGGACTGATGTCGCAGCCTTCCCTCCAGGACAGGTTGAGGCTCCTGATGAACTCCAGGTAGAACGAGTGGCTGCTGTTGAGCATGGAGAAGCCCACGATGTTGGACTGATCGCCCACCACGTCGTCCAGCCGGAGCAGAGGGAAATCCTGAGAATGAGAGAGAGAGAGAGGCAGGAGGAGCTTATCTCTGGTCTTAGATGATGCATGTCAGCAAACTGTTTAAAAAGCAGGCGTCGCGAGATGCAGGAACAATGACCGTTTAAGATCGCAGCAGGGAGAAGATATTAAACCAGCAAAAGGATGAAAGAAAAGGACGATGGAAACAAGCGAAAGGCTTCTCCTTTTGCAGGCTGCACAACTTTTTTTTAAAATTCAGAGCAGGGCAGCAGAGAGAGCGAGAGAGAGAGAGAGAGAGAAAAAAAAGATGGACATCAAAAGCCGGGGAATTTCAAAGAACTTCAAATAGTCCTTGAAGGCGAGCCGGTGTCACGCTGAGCTCTGCTGCTGAAACAAACCACAATCAAACTGTTGCTCGGCCCTCACAGGGTTTGTGTTGTGCAACAGATGCTGACAATGAAACATTTATCTTCAGCTGTGAAGAGTGGAGGATGCAGACGGAGTCAAAGCAAACGCTGCACCTGCTGGTTTCACCTTGTGTCTCCGGACCGGCTGAAGTTGTGCTTATTAACTGGTGTTCCACTTAAATGCCTTGAGCTCGCCGTCCCTCGGTCATGAATCCATTCCTGTTTTCTGCCTTTAGACGACTGCTTTGGTGTGTTTTGGTCTTTAAAGCGGCTGACGGCAGCTCAATCTGCACTTTAATGCTACCTGGCGGCAGAAAGAGCTCACAAAGGCTGCATTTGATTATGCACAGTCCTGTGGGTTACAGCTGTGATGATGATGATGATGATGATGACGATGACGATGATGACAAACAGGTAGAGACAGGATGAAGAGGAGGCGACCCTGCAGAGATATTCTGGGATGATTACTGTGGCATCGCTCGCTCTCTTTAATGGACTTAATGAAGCCCACAGAGGATTCAGACACTGCAGTAAACTGATCAGGGAGAAAATCCCTGCATGGTTACCATGGTTCCCAAATTTACATTAACATCACTTACGCGGATCGATTGTGAATTCACTTCCTGGACCGCTCGCAAAAGAACACGCTGAGGCAACAGCAGTGCAGCTTTTAAAATGATGCTCTATTCACAGGTCAGTCAGGAAATATCACAAATTACACACATTCCCTGGTCTCGAGCTTTTATTCCAGCAAATCTCTGCATAATTTACAGCAAAAAAAAAGAAAAAAAAATCCCTATTTAGCTCACGCTGGTCCTTTGTGCAGCCCCTCGGTTCAGCCTGTGGTTGCAGTTGAATAGTCAGAAAGATTACATCCTGTCTTCGCCTAAAGACTTTTTTGTTGGAAATCAAAAATAAGTGAAATGATGTGAAATATTAAGTTAAAGACGGCCGCGGTGCTGAGATAATGTGGCTGCACTTACACCAGGATGCACGGTAAAAAAAAAAAAAAACAATGTCTGAACAATTTACTGTTATTTCACAGTTTTGCCCTGTTTTGCTAAATTGCAGATAATGTCTAGTAAAATCACAGAAAGGAAAAAAAAAGGATTATTTTGTGTGTTCACTGCAAAAAGGGGCAAAACTGTCCATAATGTCCACCTCAACAATATGCATTTTTATCAGATAATTTATTCCTTAGCAATGCTTGAATGTTTGAATGTGAAATTATACTATTTTCCATTGTGTTCAAATCAGGGGGAAATGCATTTTAGTTTATTTGCTGTTATGTACAAGAAAAAATAAGAATAATAGGAACTGAAAATGGTAAAAAAAAAAACAAACAAAAAAAAACAATAAATTTAAACAATCAATTTATTACTATTGTTTTCATTACTTATAACAACAACAACAATAATAATAATAATAATAATAATAATAATAATAATAATAATAATAATAATAATAATAATAATAATAATAATGCAATTTTACATAAACAATCTAGTAAAAACACAGAAGGGGTAATAATAGATGGGGACTGCAAAAAATAAAAATAAAAAAAGTAAAAATCAAGAATCTGTCAGACATGTAAGAGAGACACGTAACCCAAAAACAATGTCCACACCAAAAATCTGTATTTCCATGCATGATAATGTATTCCTTGGCAATGTTTGGCTGTGAAATTATATTATTTACTTTATTTAAATCCAAAAAACTTCCATAATTTTACAGTTATTTGCTGTTGTCTGTAAGAAAAAAAATCAAATCTATCTATTAGGAATTTTAAAATGTTGTATTTCTTTTTTTTTTTTTTTTTTTAAACAAAAGGTAATTTACAAATGTTCCCTCTCCATATAATGTCCAAAATTAAAATTCAGTAGTTTTACAAAGTAGTATTTTGGTTTTTACAATATGTGATCATAAATTAGACTGTTTAGTAATTCAGCTAAAAACATCAATAATTTACAGATATTTGCTTTGATCTTCACCGTTTTTGACGGTGTTTTTCGTCGTGGTTGTGTTGTTTCCATACAGATGCAGGACTTTGTGTTCAGTGAAACATGAAACCACAGCAACGAAAAACACAACAGGAGCAACAAAACAACTCAGAGAGTTAAGAGGTTAAAAAAAAAAGGAGGAATCTATTCTTTTAGAGGCTCATGAAACGGGCGACTGAACAAATCTGCCGACACACCTCCTCCGTAGACGCGCCATTACTCAGAAATGTCATCATCCAGCGTGTCAGTGCTATTATACAAGCGCTTTTTTTGATATAATGATAAGAGGCTGAAGTTATTTGAATTTTTTCCACTTGGTTTCAACACAGAGGTTCACAAATGAACAGAGAACTTTGACTATAGAGACGAAACCAACGTGCTGTCTGCACCCACTCTGGCTTTGTCCTGAGACAAAGTACGATACATAAAAGTAAAGAACGAATCCTCACGGGAGAAAAGATTCACCAGGATCCATCCTCTGGGAGTCATGAACATCCAGTTTAATGTGTCTCTTTGTTGCGTTTCTCTGTGTGCCGTCCTTGTATAGATGTTTCTCTATTGTTTGTGCAACTTTTGCTGTTTTATTAAGGAAGCAGTAAAAAGTCTAAATGCAGAACAGAGTGTGAACCAGAGTTGGACGGACAGGCTGCTGCCACCATCATCATTTGGCTGCGTCCGAAGCTCCGTAGAAACATTTTGGCAGAGAACCCTTCCGGCCTGCAGAAGCGAGGCTCTGCAGAGGCAACAAAACCCTGAGCTTTTAGTCAAACACCCTGCGAGTATTCGGCACCGGCGCTAACCTGAGTCCGCATCCTTTCCCCCCTGAATCTCTCTGACACTTATTTACTTAACAACGTCCCGGCCTGTCGGGAAACTGTTGCTGTTATTGTTGTTGCCGGTGCGGTTGCCGGATGCCAAATCAATTTCAGCCGCGGCCAAGTCCGCTGTCAGACGGCCGGCCTGCCAGCCGTGACAAAGAGCAGTTGGCTGGAGGCGCCGGCCAGCACTGCTGAGGGAGGAAACACTGCGACAGCATCCCAGAAGGACACCGGCGACGCTGCAGCATTAAAGACAAGCAGGTTTGTTCGTGTTGGCGAGTTTTAAAGACCAATAAGCGAGATTTAGACGAACATGACCGCCGTATATCTTCAGGGCTTTTGGTGAGATTTTGACTCACTGATTGCTTCACCGACACGGTGGACGGTTCAGGTTTGTTAGAGTCACCTGAAGTCATTCTGGGACATTGAGCCTCCCTCCACAGCTCAGCACACTCTGTTGCCTCTACTGGACCCTGTTATAAGCAGCAGTTTCATTACTTTCCATCATCCAGAAGCCAAAAACAACTCCGGAGCTGCAATGGCAGGAACTTCAGAGATCTGATGCACAGTTCCACCCTCTCAAATGTGAATATTTGATGGTTTTCTTTAAGAGCTTTGTGAGGTTTTGCGCAGTTTGTCAGACAAAATGAATCAACTTTATGAACTTGTACTGTAGTGAGTGAGGACGCACATATTAAATGCTGGTAGTTGCTGGGAGCAGCTTTACAGCAGATTAAGGCAGATTAAAACATTAATCCACTTTGATGGAACACAACTTTACAGCTAATGTAATACATGTATTAATGTAATGCTTATTCATTTTCCTTGTTTCATTTCTTTCTGGTTGTTTTGTGTCTATTTCTGTCATTTTGTGGTTGAAATGTAAGACTTTAACTTTCCAAAAGTATCGATTTCTAATAAATCAGACACATTATTTTGTCAGAAACGGTGAACAACAAACTGAGGCTTTTGGGGTTTTGTATTCTCATCTTGAGTAACTTCACAAACCTCTACAGACTTTGATTATTTCTCTACTGTTTTGCATCAGGATTCTCTCAGGGGACCCCTGGACTACAAAAATGAGACCCGAAACAACTGCAAAGAGATGCAAAATAACCTGAAAGACTCAAAACGATGAAGTTAGGAGGTAAATAAAGACACAAACCAAATGCAAAGCAACCAGAAAATGACAGAAATAAACACGAATACACACAAAGAAACGCAAAGCAACTCCAAAGAGCAGAAAAACAACTGCTTTGATGAGCAAAACAACGTAAATCTAACGCAAAGCGACCACCAAACAAATAGAAAAGGTCAGAACGAGACACAAAATGATGTCAAAAATATCCAAAATTAACAAAGTGAAAAGCAAAACATGCACAAGGAAACATAAAATGAACAAATGACACACGGAATAACCACAGATAGATATAAAATCAGCTGAATAAAGCGCAAAACAACACGTATTGTACACAAAATGAGTCACAAAAGGACCAAAAAAAGGAAGGGAAAGGAAAGAACACAACTAAAATGAGACACTCAGCTGCCACAATCACAACCAAAACAACTACAAAAGACACAGAGACACAAAACAATGACAAATAAACACAAAAAAAAACCTAAATTGAGACATGAAATGACCAAAACCAGACACAAAAGACCCACAAAGAGATGCGAGACAATCAAAATTAAGTGCAAAACAGCTAAAATTGCACACAAAAGGACCAAAATGAGCTGCAAAACAACCAAAATCAAACACAAAATGATCACAAAGACAACGGCCTGCATGGTTTGTGGTCATTCTGTGTATATGACACGTTGAGTGACCTTGTGTTCATTTCCCAAAGACACTGAAGAGCCAGTTGTCATAGAGACGAAGCAGACGTGGTTCGTTTAAATATGTGGATAATCACGGGGAATTTTCTCGCTGCGTCTTGACTCACTTCATGACGTTTATCTTTGAAACATGCCTGACGTTAGCGTTGTTCCAGCAGCTGATGTGTGTGTTTACCGGATACACTGATGCTAATCTGAGGCTCTGTGTGGAAAAGCATGGCGGCGCCCACTGCGCTAAATGAAAAGCTTCGCGTAAGTCACAGCAATCCATCCAGAGGCGGACATTAGAGAGATTATTCTCGTGGCGATCCATCCAGCGGCTGTCAGGACATTTCAATCAGAGCAGCGCTGCCAACGCACGCCGGTCACCTGACGGGACGCCGCCACACAAATAAATAAAGGAGGAGGTCCAGATGGCGTCGCTCTGGAGGAAATTTAATGAACTTAATCTAATGGCTGCTTTGACCCTCAGTAAACTCTGTCACGGTCTGACATGGAAGCCAAACGTTGGGCACATTCCCTCGTTTGATTCACACACAAATCATGGAAGATTTATGGTTCATGTGTTGTTGTGTGAGATGATGTCTGATGACAACGTTGGACCAAACTAAGACATTTGGTGAGATCCCACTGAGCATTGTTAAACTGTGAGGGACAGTTTCAGAGCTGCAGAGCAACAGATTAGTCGTCAATGATTACAGTAATCACCAGCTACTTTGTTCATTTTTCAGACTGCAGCTTCTTAAATGTGAATATTTTCAGGGTTTTTTTCCTTCTCTGTGACAGTAAACTGAATATATTTGGGTTGTGGATGAAATGAGGCATTTGTAATCTTGGGTTTGGGAAAAAACTAAACAACAACTATCTAGAACCCCCCCCCCCCCAAAAAAAAACAAAAAACAAAAAACAAAAAACAACAACAACAACAGAAACAAAATGACAAAAAATAATTGAGAAATAAAGCGACCATTGAGACCTAAAGTGACCTAAACAGAAACAAAAAGAACAATCACATTAAAAAGCACAAAATGGACTATAAACTATCAAAAAAAATAACTAAAATGAAACAAAGGAAACCACAAAGAAGGAAAATAACACAAATGAGACACACAGCGACCACAAAATGACCAAAATGAAATGCCAAGCAGCCACTAAATGATCAACATGAGCAAGCTAAGACACAAAACAGGAAGATGAAAAGGAAATGGAAAAACAAAGAGGCACAAAAGGACCACATTTACACACAAAGGGACCAAAAATAAGATGAAATTTTAAAATGAGACACAAACTAACTACAAAAAAATGCAAAAATAACTGCAAAGAGGTGCAAAATGGACCAAAAATCCACCAAAAACAAGCACAAACACAGACAAAGGAACCACAAAGTGACACTAAATAACCACAATGAGACAAAGAGATGCCAGATAAAAAAAACAAAACAACGTAAAACAACTAAAATGAGACACAACAGACCATAAAGAGACATGAAATGACCAAAATGAAATGCAAAACATCCACTAAATGATCAACACGAGCAAAAAAGGACACAGAGCAGAAAGATGAAAATGAAATGAAAATATAAAGAGACAGAAAATGACCAAAATGAGACCCAAAACGACCACAAAACAAGAAACACAACTAAAATGAGACAAAACGACCAAATTAAACTGCAAAACAACTAAAATGAGACACAAAATGATTAATCTAAGAAGCAAAAAGACCAAAACGATGAACAGAAAAACCACAAACGGACATATCGAACCAAACTGAGACACAGAAGGACTGAAATCTTACACAAGATGACAAAAAGTAGTAACTGAAAATAAACAAAACAACCCAGAAACATTTGTCATCTTGGATTTTGGGGAAAAACTGATTGACATATTTTTTCTGACATTTTATCAACAACTAACTAGAATCTGAAACGTGACAAAAAATGAGACAAAAATTAAAAATAAATTTAAAAAAATTAAATGACAATAGAAACACAAAGTGACCAGAAGAGAGACTAAAAGAACATCCTCAATAAAAAGCACAAAACGGTCTAAATGAAACCTAAAAGGAGACAAAATAAACACAAATACAACTAAAATGAGACACAAAATGATCAATCTAATGCAAAATTACTCAAATGATGAACAAAAGAACCACCAAAGGACAAAACCAACCAAAATATGACAGAAAAGGACTGAAGTTATATACAAGAGGACAAAACAAGACACAAAGTAACTGAAAATAACAAAAAAATAAATAAATAAATATCATCATCTATTGTCATCTTGGTTTTTGGGACATTTATCCCCAAAAAATGAGACAAAATAAATACAAAGAGAGAGAAAAACAGCTGAAATGAGACACAAAAGGACTGAAATCACACACAAGACGACAAAAATGATGCACAAAGAAACTAAAAATAACCAAAACAACTCAGGAAATGTCTCTTTTTGTGCTTTTCATTCTAAACACTTTCACTTGTAGCAGCAGCTGGACGGTGTTTTGCTGTAAATGTGAGATGAAGACAAAACGAGGAGCTAAAAGAGGCTCAGGAGCTTCTGTTGGGTCCAACATCTTAAACTACACAAACTCATTTCAGCCACTGTTATTTTTCTTATCTGCCTGCTGCCTGTTTGGTGGTTTTTGTGATTCTGTCCTCTAAAGTGAGACGTCTGGGGGCCCAGCGGCGGCGCTGAACCCTGCAGTCGGCAGAGCGAGGTAGAAACACAAAGTTAAAGGTAGGTCAGAGACGGCGGCGCAGGTGGAAGAGGTGAAGTGAGGGAATCGTTTTCCTTTTGGTCCGTTTCCAGGGTTTTGTTACGGGCTGGCAGAACGCTGATTTCGCCCTTGGCTTGTGATCGCAGCGTGAAGGGCCCTTGTGAGCGGCCCCGTTAGCGCCGGTGACACGGCGGTGTTTAGAGTCGAGCCGGAGATCGAGACGAGTTATTATCCCGCGCAAAGGCTCTTCGTACAAGGGCACGACACCGAACAGCCAAATTATAATGATGACAAACGGCGGCAGGACCGGCATGCATCTCTGATGAGGAGGCAGCGAGGAGGACGGGGGGGGGAGTTATGGGTGAGGAGGAGATCTATGACGGCAGCCCAGAGGTGAGGGAAGAGACGGACGACGGGGTTTGGAGTTGGAACGTGACCTAAAAAACATCCTGCAGCTGTGCACAGAGCAGGGAGGAACAAGCACAGCAGCAAAGGTGGGGATGAAAGGATGGAAAGGAAAGGAAGGGGTAGGGAATGCACACAACACAACAAGAAAGACGAGACACAACGTGATCCTAGAAAGACACAAAATGACCAAAATAGAAATGCAAAACCGCCACAATTACACACAAAAGAGACCAAAATGGGACACAAGAGGACCGATATAAAAGGAAAAACAACTAAAATGACACACAAAGCGACCACAAAAAGACACAAAGTGATCACAAGACAGGCAAAATGATACAACCTAAGGATTCACAAAGTGACCACAAGCAAGAAGCAAAGCAACTAAAATGAGACACAAAGTCAAAATAAAAACGATCACAATAAGACACAAAACAACCAAAATAAAATGCAAAACAACCACAATTACACAAAAAAATCACCAAACTGACACACAAAAGGATCAAGATAATACAAAGAAAGAGGCAAAACAGCTAAAATGTGACAACAGAGAGACACAAAAGGAGCAAAAGAAAATGCAAAAGAACTAAAATGAGACACAAATTGATCACAAAAGGACGCAAAATGACCACAATTACACACAAAGTGACCAAAAATAACCACAAACAGACACCAAATAACAACACAAAGACAAAGTGAGCACAAAGGGACACAAAACGACTAAAGCAAGAAGCAAAAAAACAAAAAATGAGGCACACTACAACAAAACAACACAAAATGAGACACACAAATGCAAAATAACCACAATTACTCACAAAATGACCAAAAATATACAAAAGGATGAGAATAAAATGCACAGGAACTAAAATGCTGACAAAAAGTTACCACGGGAAGACACAAAGTGAACACAAAGAGACACAAAATGACCAAAACAAGGAACAAAACAACTAAAATGAGGAGCAATGCAACGACAAAAAGACACAAAACAACCAAAACGAGACAAAAAAAGGAGCAAAGTGACATGCAAAACAATAGAATGACGCACAAAGCAACCTCAGAAAGACACAAAACGACCTTAAAGAGATGCAAAGTGACCACACAAGACTAAACAACACACAAAATCAAATGCAAAACAACTAAAGTCTAACCCAAATTGTCCACAAAGTGACCACGAAGCAGCCACAATTACACACAGGTTGATCAAAATGAGACATGACGTAACCACAAAACCAAAGTGAGACACACAGTGACCAGCATCGGTCCAGAGAAAGACAGAAAAGTGAACTTTAATGTGGCCGGAGGAGTTTGGAGGCGTGAAGCTCTTACCATGGTGGTGAGGATGTATTTGTAGAAGGCCGACGTCATCCCCAGCTCGTTCGCCTGGGGGTCACCAGAAAAGAAGAAGAAGAAGAAAAAGCGCTGTGAGACGGGAACAACAAATCCTCAAACTTCATCCAAAGGAACATGAGTCACAGTTTATTTAAAAAAAAAAAAACGCTCTATATATTTCCCAGCCTGCACTTGGTCCCAAATTGGAGAGAATTACGTGTCAGTCTGTGTCGCAGCTTCTTTAATAGCAAGAAAGCGGACGGTTACACAACAGTGACGGAAAACTGTCGAGAAAAAGTTCAGGGGGGAAGTAATGAGAAAGAAAATAACAGCTGAGAGGAGCTCTGTGTGGGAAATGCGCAGGTGAAAAGGCGTCTAGACATCTGACTTTAATCTGGAATAAAACCTGGATAAAAATGGAGCCTTCTGTCTGAATTATCTTTTTTTAGGAGGCGGGTCGTCGTATCTTGGAAACTTTCTGACAAAGATGGATGTCGTACGGTGGTTTTGTTTGGATTTCTTTGTTTGGAAGAACTCTCCCAGCCAGCGGGGGATTTAAACTGGCATCCCTCACGTCGGTTATTAATCCATTAACCTTCCACACACCGAGTCTCCTTCAGTCTGCCTGCAGGACACGAGCCTCTCAGAGAAAAGTCACGGCGGAGTCATTTTATTTTGTATTCTGAACTCCTCGGGCCCTGCGGTTGCAGATCTGAGAGTGCAACTGCAACCTGCCAAACGCTGAAACATTCGGTTCGCGGCTCTACCGGCCAGTTTGGCAGCGAACCAGCCCCGAGTCTGAAGGTCCTGTTCTGCTCGGCAAACACCACAGAGCAAGAGGCAAAACAAGAAATAGAGATGTTGCAGCTGTCGTCGCTGTTTCCAGATAATCAGACTGAAGCTGCGCAAGATCCTGTTTTTTTTCCCATCTCAGGGCTCGTTGGTTTTGTTACAGAGCTCATATTCTGCACATTTTTACAGGCCGATCATTACAACCACTAATATGCTCGCATGCTTTAATGTTCAAAAACACATTACTTATATGAATTCTCTCGCACTCTGCAATAGTGTCATGAAAATCTGATATCACGGCAGTCATACTGAGCGGCTTGTTTTCAGGACCACGCTTCTAAGACATGTGTTTTTCATTCATTTGTTTTTTGGGTCAGATGACATGGTGTTTGTTTATTCCAAAGGGGAGCTAGCTGTTGTAACCCACAGACACTAGCAAAAATTTGGTGGAATAAACCTTTAAAACTGTAAATGCTTTGGTAGAATTCCGTATTTTGGGTGGGGTAAACTTTAAAATCATTCGTGCTTTGACACAAAGTAATATTGTGGGTGGAATAAACCATGAAAACTATCCATTGTATTTTGTTGGAACAAACCTTTAAAACTACATGCAGTATTTTGGGTACAATAAACCTTTAAAACCACAAGTTATTGGACAGAAAGTACTATATTAGAAGGAATAAACCTTTCCAATAATAATTTGTTAGTTAGAGAGTACTATTTAGGTGGGATATACCTTTAAAAGTAAAAGTAGCATGATGGTGGAACAAACCTTTAACACTAGACCTTGTATTTTAAGGAAAATCAACCTTAAAAACAAAAGTGTTTGACACAAGTAGCATTAAAACGATATGTAGTATCTTGGCAGAACAAACCTTTGAAACTATATGTAGTATTTTGGGTACAATAAACGTACAAAAATTACAAGTGATTGGACAGAAGGTAGTATTTTGGGTGGACTAAACCTTTAAAATCATAATACATTAGTTAGAGAGGACTGTTTGGGCAGAAAAAAAACAAATCTAGATCAAATCTTTAACACTAGACATAGTATTTTGGATAAAAATCAACCTTTAAAACCATAAGTGTGAGGACACCAAGTGGTGGAACAAACCTTTGAAACTATACGTAGTACGTTGGGTACAATACACCTTCAGAACCATCAGGGTTTGAACACCAAGTGGTATTGTGGATGGAATAAACTTTGAAAACTATACATAGTATTTTGGTGGAACAAACCATACTTTCTGGTAGAATAGACCTTTAAAACCAAACACTGTGCATTGCAGCAATCATCCAGTTCAGCAGGTGGCGCTATCGTGACAAACTGCAGCTTCCTCTGCTGCAGACACAACATTGGCCCTGCATGCAAATTAACTTTTTATTAGATCCGATTTACTTGGAACTGAGGGGTTGAATCTGCTTTATGTGAACTCATTTGGCTTGAATGTACACTCTAAAAGATAACGTTTGGGCCCCACAAAAAGTAATGACATTTTGCAAACGGTGTGCATCAATCTTTTTGAGTTACGACAATTTGTAATTAAATTGTGTTCAACCAACAGACCACTTTTAAATTAGGGGAATTAGCTTTTCGTACCACGATCAAATGCATTTTAGTGAACTTTTCACTGTCTTCTTAACTGTTTGAAGCAAACTCAAGGGGAAGAAAGATTAAGACATCAAACCAATGTTATTAAGTTATCTAAACTTAAATTTAGTTTTAAATCAACCAACCCTTGAATTTCAGTTTAAATTACACACAACATTAAGATGATGCAATTACCAACATCATTATGTCTACACTTCAAAATAATCTCTGCAACAGAAAAGGTTTTGCTCAATCAGTAGATCCGAATATTTATCTTGCAACCACGTATTGAATTAAATGGTAGGACCAAATCAGTTGAATTACTTTTAGAGAGTATCAGACGCGCATTGATATAAAAAATTCTCAGTTTTAATAATAACTGTGATCCTTTCTCAACCTTAGAAATGCTGCAGAAAACAAGGCTTTTAAAAACATTGCATCTGCTTGAATTTAAAGGATTTTCGGTGATTTTCCAAACTGACCTTCTTCTTCTCATATTCTGACCTGACAGTGACTGATTTGACGGTTTGACTCAGAAGATTCCTTTATTCCCTCGACGCTGCGATGCTGCGCTCTGATCGATTGCAATAACAGAACATTCAATGTGATCAATCAATCAATCAATCAATCATTGTCACCGGCTAAACCAAATGAGACAGATGACCTACAGGAGCCGAGCCAACGTCTTAAGGCCCCATTAAGCACATGTCAGTCTCTGTATCAAGATACAACCAGAACATACAGCAGGTATGGACAGTGGATTTTGAAAACAAACCCCACATTTTCTATATTTTCTATAAGACTGTAGTGTTCGGTGTGACCTCCCTTTGTATATAACATGTCTTCTGGGTGGACAATATGAGGTTTACTGTTCCAATCTTCTGCTCTATTGCACCAGACTTCACTGAAGATATTTCAAAAGTGTTCATTGTTTCATAGACGGCTTGTATAAGACGCACCATTCCATTCAAAATGCCAAAGATTTCGCAGTCTGACAGTCATAAAACTGGAATTCTGCATCAGTGAGGCCACTCTCAAAGGCAAATTTGGCAACCAAACTGGATCCTCAAGGTGTGATATTCACACTGGTGTTAAGAAATGTGAAAAATTCAGAGAGAAGAAGGACAAAAAAAGGAGTGGAAGGCCAAGAAAAACTGTCTGACTAGAATCGCCTTTGAGTTTCTGCTTTGAGAGACCGAAAGAAGTCCGGCAAAGAATTTACTCAGCTTCATCTGGATGCCAAGTCGATCCGGCTACAGTTCAGAGAAGTCTGATCGGGAATGTCCTCTGTGGAAGGGCGGCTGCCAAGAAAGCACTTTTTCAGAGGGAGAAAAGGGCTGAAAGATGCAAAAGCTCACAAAGATAGGAGTGAAGATCAATGGAGAAGAGTTCTGTGGAGCGATGAATCAAACGTTAAAATGTTTAAGTCCAATCGTCGGCAAGGAGAGTCGGAGAGAAGTTCAAGACAGGGCGCTGGTTGGAACATGATGGAGGCTCTGTCGTGGTTTGAGGCTGCGTTTCTGCCAGCAGTGTTGACGATATCATCCAAATTGATGTAATCATGAGTGCTGAAATGCACAGACGTTTCTGGAAAGATGTCAAACACACTGACATCGTATGTGGAGAAAGAAACGGCTGATCAAACAGCATGGACAGTGATGGACTGACCTCCACAGAGTCCAAACCCGAGTGTTACAGAAGATCATCTGGATGGAGAAACAAATAAAACAGCCCCAGTGAGAAGAACAAATGTGGGAAGTGCTGAAGGAAGCTTTCTGTAATGTACCAAAAAAATTACTGGAGAAAACTTTAAGACAGTCGACCCACGAGAGCTCGAGATGTTCTGAGTGCAAAGAGAGGTCACGCTAAGCATTGAATTTAGACATTCTGTTCTCAATTTTGTGTGTTTTCTTCGTACTGTGTGCATATTTCTTGTATTTTCTCATCGTATCTTTATTCAGAGACTCAGAAATGCATTAGTAACGTCATTACAACAGACACAGAACTGTATCTCGTTGTTTCAGCTGCTAGAAGATGGTTAGAAATGGTTACTTCTGCTTTGTCTTTACATTGAACAGAATGTTCCTCTAGTCCAGGCAGTAAAGCTTTTATTATCAACTTCTGGACATTCTTGATATGTAAGTGGGTAAAGAGGAGTTTCTCAGGTAAGAAGCCTGTTGATGAGACATTCTGAACATGAGCAATGACATTAGAACACGATAATGAAAAAAGATAACACTCATCAGTCCACTTGGTCTTGTTCTTCTCATTTTACCTGCACTCAGGTTTGTGCACTTAGAGTGATTTTGCATAGAAGTTCTCTTCCCACTGTGCTTCAGCTCAAATTACCAGGGAAAGTAACGTTGCCATGGTGTCGGTTCATGGGCTGCTGGTGTCCCATTTGTCTATTTTTTACACAATCAATGCAGTTTTTTTTTTTTTTTTAATGTCTTATCAAAATGTTTAAAAGAAAAAAAAAGAAACAGAACTTGCTGAGGTGATGGGTGCACCTGATCCTCACCACTGACCAACCAAACTCCATTCAGTTTTCTAAGAATTTTAAATTACGTCACATTTTCACATTTATGTAAACGTTAGTCGTCTGTTCTGCACTGTGAAACATCATAAAGGAATTTAGCCAAAATCAACTCCATTAGCAATGAACTATTGTCTAGTTGCTCTATTTTCTAGTGAACTGAAAATACTTAATTTATTTTCAGATCATTTTACAATTTAATCGCGCAAGTTCTTATAACTTGAGGCGTTTTGACTTACAAGGTTGAGCTAAATGAATGAACAGTCAATTCATCACGAAACAAAACTAGCAAACTTCCCAGGATGCATTGTTATTGAGGTAAAGCTCCATAGAAAGCCTTCTTTGTTTTTGTAGTTTGAAAAAACAGACATGGTGGAAATTTGTTGTGTCTCTTTAATACAAGTTCCATTAAGTTATGTGTTGTTTTATTTCAACAATAACAAAACAATTTCCAACCATTCAGCTCTGTAGACTGCAGAACAAGGTCAGAGAACATCTTTGAACTGACTCTGAACAAAAATGGCTTCAACCCAGCAGACTGTAAGTTGAATAAAGAATCTCCTCTCAGCTTCGAAAATGTAAAATTAGAACTCTTTGAGACTGTAAAATTATTGCTCATTAAAACTACAGCAGCCACTTTTAAACTGCTGTACCACTAAAATCCTCCTTTTTTAAACTGTGACATCATCTGACAAACTTAACATATGCATGAATAATAAATGGCTGTACTAAGAATTTGGTAGTATTGATTTTATTTTTTTTTCAAGCGACTACCAAAGTCAGAGAACAACTACACATTAATGAATGAGCTGCTTCATGTTGTAAAGTATCCACGTTGTACTTTGTTGGATTTCTTTTAGAGCAACACTACTGATTTGAATTATGAGTCCTCTTTTTTTTTTAACATCTTGGAGTTTCTCATTTAAATATAAAGTTTTGCACTTTAATATGTAAACGTTTGTTTCCATTTCATACTGTGCGGCCTTATATAATAACATATAGCCTGTCACAATACAATGTAGTGATTCTGCTTTGTTGGAGGAAGGCTAATCGCTTAAATTCATCGACTAGTCAGTAAAATAGTTGATAGATTAGCTGCTAGAACGCTAGTCTACACTTCAACACATGTATTTTAGCACTGTTGACTATCACTGGACAGACAACAATCATGTGGATTATTTTGGACTCCAGACAAGCAGAGCAGCTGTTCAGACAAAGGCCTTGACCGTTGTGTCCATGCACAAAGCTAAAGCAGCGGGCGTCCTGACCTTCCTGAGGATGTGGTAGGAGATGGAGGCGTTGGCGTCGATGATGATGGTGGCCACTTTGTCGTCACGGATCTCCTTCAGCAGCGGCGTGGGGTCCAGGCTCTCGTCCAGCATCCTCACCGACAGCGTCTCCCTGGAGATGAGGAAGCGGCGAACCAGCTCCTCCAACCGCAGCAGGCCTACACACAACGGTAAATAAGTGTAAACATGAATTGTGATTGAGTTAAAATTACATTTGGATGGCAAGTTTTTCGAGATCCAGGTGCTGTAATAACATCGTTTGTCAAAAGTGACTTTAAGCCTTGGGACAGTTGTGAAGAAGGACAAAAAAAAAAAAAAGAAACAGAGACGGGAGTGCATGATGCTCATCTGAGTGTTTCGTCTGTTTACTTGTAAAATTATTGCTCTGACTTGAAAAAAAAAAAAAAAAAGAAAGAAAGAAATTGATGGGACTCAGAGTCATTAGAGAGACAAATAACTGTCGCTGCTCTAAAAACTTCCAGGCCCGAAAAGAGGCAATAAACAGACTGGGATAAAGGTGATTATGTTGAAAGTCCATTAATTTTCTCCTCAGAGAATGAATCTGGACCCATGTGTCCATACAGATGAGAATGGATTTACTCGTTAGAGAGTTTTTCATTAAATCTAAATCAATTTTTATGCTATTTATGGTCATTGTTTCTGCATTAGGTTCGGTACACCTTGCTGTTTTCGCTGGGATTCAGATTTTATTAACACATATGAGCAACACACAGGTAACACATCACACTACATGTGATTTCAAACCCAAGGACACATTTCACATAATGCATAAGACACCAGCGGTGGAAATAACAACATAAATGATTCATCTTGATTGCTTTGTTTGGCTGCGCTGGAAAAAGATGCAGTGTTCTTATTATATTCTCTCTATATATCTTTAAAATGTATACAATGACACCACAACCTGTTGTTATTCCCACAACATCCATTTCAGCGTATTTCTGCTGACGTCTCAGAGACACACGTCGGTTCACCTGCATCGATGTTTGATCGCGATGCAGCAGTTTTTCCACTTTTAAACAGCCTCAAAAGGAGATTGGAAGGATGAAGACAGTGTAATTTACTGGACATTTATCCAGGAAGCAAAGAATCGTGTCCCGTTTTGGACCATTGTTTAGTTTGACTTTATTTTATGGCTTAACGCTCAGGCAGGTTTTTGGCTGTTTTCTGTTCCTGTCTCGTTTTTTCTCACTGTTGGCTCATTTTTCACTTTCAACATAAACTCCTGAACCTCTATGGAAACAGAACAACCATGACTAGATGTAGAGAGAGCTCAGAAATGTCACCTATGCAGAAGAGCAAAGATATAATGAAATAAATCATAAAATAGAAGAAACAGAAGTTGAATTAATGAGATAACTTACTATAAAAAATTTTTTAAAAAGCCTGCAATCAACATACATTTTCCACTCATCAACAACAGAAAAAAACTCGGGATGCACGATATATCGGCGACCACACTGGTATCGGCCGGTATTTTTCCAATATATCGGTATCGGTCCGCTGAACAAATTTAGCCGATGTGAAAAACCGATGATTGTCCAACATGAGCGCCTTTGTCTCTGCATTTGATATTGCTGATATTTTACAGATGTTTTCACTTAAATGATCCTGGACTTGAACGATGAATATGTTTAGATTTACTTTTGTGATGTAATAAAGAAGACTATGTGGTCTAATTTGGTATGGGCGTCTTTTGAATACTTTTCACATCCTCACAGTGCGTACTTATACTCATTTTTTGGTGTGAACAAAAGCTGAACATCAACATCGGTAATATCGATTATCGGCGATATCAGAAATCTTAATATCGGCCAGAATTTTTCATATCGTGGATCACTAAAAAAAACTTGACTCTACATCCTGTAAATATTTTAATATTTACATTTTGCATTTTGGTTCCTTACTACTTAAGCCTACTTGTTTCTGATCATCAGCAAAATAGTCCCTGAATGTTTGCATCTTGATCACTGTTGAGTCGGTCATGGCTTCGTTTGTTTTCCACAGAATCTGGTTCATGCAAATGATTTATTTTTGGCAAGTCTTTAAATGAGACATGCAGAATAAATGAAACAATCATTATTTTAAGCTGAGATTTTGGTTGATTTTCCCAATAGAACTGCACATCACACACAATTAGTTCAGTCACCTCCATAAAGCTACAAATCTGGTTTGATTTTTACAGTATTTGGCTCTGACAAATGATGCACTATTGGTTTCTTTTTTTTTTGAGACAGAGAGAGAAAGACAGCATGCCTTTTAAATCCAATAGTGGGTTTTGGGGTCAGAGGGTTAATCCCAGAAATCTAATAGTGTTTGCATCGGATTTAGTGCAAAAACAATTAGCAGATTGATTATGTAGTCAGTTGTCGAAATACATTCGCATAATGGTGAATTCTAAGTGGTTCAAGTCCATTTCAAGCAATGATGCAGCATGTATTTTGGTTCTAAGTTGCTCATTTATATGAATAAATGTTGTTATTTTGGCATACGCCATGATGAAAACTAGTTGTTACTGGAGGCAGTGAAGCCAGCGTAAATGTTCTGAATATACTGGACGATAACAAACTTAAGTACAGCCGCAACAACAAAATACACAGCAGGAGTTGTGTAGTGACATATTTAGTGTTGGATTCAATATTTAGGGATGACTTACAGATGACCGAAAACCACACAGCAAACAGAGGAAATAGCTCAGACTGATCGAAACGGCTCAACGTCCGGATCTCATTGGTTACTTTATATAAACACATCCTGAAATGTGGCGCCGCATAAGTAACAGCATTGTTTGACTAGCCCGCCAGTACGAATGTGAATATAAAAGTTCATTTAATGGGAGATTAAATAGGTCAAAAAAGAAGAGAAAGCTCCATTATTAAACTGTTTCCTGAATAACTTTTGGTGGAGGCTGCTGTGCTTGCATCATCTCCGTTTTAACATTCAGAGCCGGTCGGCCTCCGTCTCGTTTCCTCGTCTGTCCCTGACAGAAGCAGCAGGCGTGTCTCATCTAATCGCCACCATAAAGCGCTCATCACGACCCTGCTGGGTTTAACTGGCCGACAGCACCTTTCACGACAACAATACAGGCCCGTTAAACACTGCCGTTAACGGGCCGAGGCTCCGGCTAAAGACTGAGAGGCGTTAAAACAGTGAGCCGGGGCGGCTCAGTCGGGCGGAAAAGCTGCAGAGAGATTGATGAAGAAAAGATGGAGGGGGAAAGGGGAAGACGAGGCGGAGATGGAGGAAATAAAGGAGAGAAGGCGAGAGGATCCAGAAAGGGAAGTAAAGGAAGATAAGAGCAAGAAGGGTAAACGTCAGATTTGGAAACTGCACAACAAAACCACCTGCTGCAGTTAGTGAATGTCGGTGAACTTTGCAGCTTTATGTGTAAATAAGAGAGAACCAACAAAGGTGACCATTAAAACTATGCTTGTAGCACCTAATGACAGCACTGGCTGATCTCACAGACATCTATTCACTCAGAGTTTGTCATGAATTTACAATCAAATTGAAGTTATTCATCCACACAGCAAACGATCTGCTTCTTTACTTCTTCCACGTACAGGCGATTAGACCAAATAAATGCAACAAGAACAAGATCATCGTTGTCATGTCTCTCTTAATAACAAGTACAGTAAGAACCTCATGCACAGAGACAGTCAAAGGTTGCACTGACTTTTTTGAGTCGTGCATATGAATCGTACGAAGGTCTGTCTTTTCTCTTTTGTAGCATATATGCAGATATTCCAGGGGTCATCAGAGGAAACATCCCTAACAAGTAGAAGCCACATCACAACTGAAAGTGTATCAGCATCCAGGCGCTCAGAATCTAACACCGATTAAATGCATCCAGAACTTGAAATGTGAATCTAGAGCTCATTAAATGTATGTAGAATTTGTTACATGGACCTAAAGCCTCCTACTCCCTGTCTATGGACCACTTTATAATGAACTATGTAGGGAGTACCTCAGCCAAAGTAACATTTCGGACACTACTCAAGTTGCGGCGATATTAATTACGTTGCTTGTGCGACAGCAGCACAGTGCAAACACGTCAAGTTCACAGTTACGGCTAAGAAACCAGCAAAACCAAATTCAACAATACAACCTAAATGGGAAATGACTCACATTAGTATGACAAGTTTTCGCACTCTCGTTCGTCTTTTTGCGTGATGCATGGTGGTACATGTTACTGGTTAGTGACCATCGGCTGTACACGAGTTTTCACGGTGCATTGTGGGATATTTTGAGTGCGCTATATGGGGTGTAAGAATTGTAACTTAACATACAGACAGCACTACAAAATGGCAAACTCCAGGTATAGTGCATTATATGTGATACAGCCAAAATGTATCTACAACTCATGAATGTATCGAGAACCTTTTACATGAATCTAGATCTAATTAGATGTATCTAGAACTCATTACATGTCTCTATAACCCGTTAAATCTACCTAACACTCATTACATGTATTTAGAAATTGTTACAGGTATCTAAACCTCATTACATGTATCTAGAACTAATTATATGTTTGTAGAACTCATTAAACGTATCCATAACTTATTACACGACTCTAGAACTACTTAAACATATCTTTAAGTCATTAGATGCATCTACAACTTGTTTATTGTAACAGTCGTTACATGTATTTAAATTTCATTACATGTATCTGGAACTAATTCAATGTTTGTAGAACTCATTAAATGTATCTACAACCTATAACGTGGTTCTAGAACTAATTAAGTGTATCTTTAAGTCTTTAAATCTACAACTTGTTTAATGTAACAGTCGTTACATGTATCTAGATTTCATTACATGTATCAAGAGTTTGTTAAATGTATCTAGAACAAATTAAATGCATGTAGAACTCATTAAATGTATCTAGATTTCACTACATAGAACTTAGTAATGTATCTAGAACTTGCTAAATGTATCTAAACCTCATTCCATGTATCTAGATTTGATTAATGTATCTAGAACACATGAAATGTTTCTAGAACTCTCTACACGTATCTAGAACTTGTTAAATGCATCTAGAACTCTTCATATGCATCTACAACTAACCTGAAGTTTCTAGCGGGGATTGACACTTATTAAATGTATCTAAATTTCACTACATGTCTAGAACTTAGTAATGTATCTAGAACTTGTTAAATGCATCTAGAACTCTTCATATGCATCTACAACTAACCTAAAGTTTCTAGCGGTGATTGACACTTATTAAATGTATCTAGAAGTCTATACAAGTATCTAGACTTGATTAAAAGTCAAAGTCATTAAATGTATCAATAAAATGGTTTTTAAAAAAAGCACCTGTTGTTGAAACACGGATAGACAGAGTCAACAGAGAGAAGAGATGCTGCAGGATGAACAAAGCTCGGCTGGCTGATGCCTCAAAGTGCAACAAGATACAACAGGTTTATTGAAGCAGTCTGCAGGTGGTGACGAGGACGCTGGTGAAGATGCAGAAACAAGCGGGGAGCAGCTGCTTCGTCACGCCGACACGCTGTGAAGCAGCTAAATGAACTAATCAAATGTTGTTGTTAACTTCGGGGGTTTCAACGCTGGAGTCCCACTGCAGGTTTCACCATCTCCAAAGTTTACCAGTCAGACTCTGTCAACTTCGAGAAATTCGTGATAAATGTCTGAGAAGAGTTTTAAGAATTTGGTCAACTTCGGCTGTAAATGGATTAAATAAACATGTAAATCTGATCTGAAATTTCATTTCTTCTGCACTGCTCATCAGTTATTTTTTGCATTATTCAGGAACCTTTGTGCATGTTCTGACTGCAGAAACTGTCCCAGTAGAACCGCCTTCAGGGTCATTTTCAGGTGAGAAAAACCTTCTCCAGTGTTGGTACCTGAAAAACAGCGGTGTGGGTCTCATTGCAGATTCGTGAAGTTCGAAGACAAACTGCATTTTTTTTGCCCTTTCGATGTCCTTGAACTCTTTTCTCGAACATTCACCAGATGGATTAACATAACAAACTTTCATTCATCTATTTCCTACCTGCTCATAGAACTGTAACTACTATTTGTTGTTGTGTTGGTGCACTCTGATTTGATATAGCTGTTGGATTCTACACAACAATGCAACAGATGATTCCTGTAAACGTTAACACAATCTCTGGCCACACTTTCACTGAAAACTACTAAGTGTTGCAGATGCAGCTCATTCAGCTGCTCAGGACTTTGCTAAGCATCTAATTCCTGAAGACGAGCCCTGAATAATCAACCGGGAGGCTCCACTTCAGCTCCTAAAGACACCGAAGTGGACAAAACTGCACCTGAAGACACCATAAACACACACAGACTCACACTCCGCTTTGGCACAGATGAGGCTGGCCGTCGGGTTGCCGAAGGAGCGCAGGATGGATCCGATGGCCAGGCTCAGGTCCTCGTTGCTCGGGTAGAGCGTCACCGAGGCGAAGCGAAGGTACGGCAGCTTCGGGGTTTCCTCCGGACCGATCTTTACGTGAGGGATCTGCGGGGAGAAGAAGAGGAAGTGAGAGCAGCTTCAAAACAGTCTTTGTGTCGGAGATTCGAGAGAAGAGAAGGAGGAAGAACTATGGAGCAGAAAAGCAACTTATTGAATTGACTGAAGTTGTTTTTTTAAGTTTCTCAGGCAAATATTGTACTTTTTACTCCACTATGTTCAGTAGCTATATTATTGTGTACAATTACTTTAGCTTTTGAACTTTCACTTGGAATATTGCTGCACTTTGGTATGACTTAAGTAAAAGATGTGAAAACTTCTTGGACAACTAAAGAAAAGGAACTAACTTATTCAAAGCCAATTCAATGAAAGGAAAGGTTAAAAGGGGAAAGCAAAGAAAAAAAAAAGAACAGAAATCCAATGGACATAAATGAAAGAAGAAGGGAAATAAAGAGGAGAGAAAGGGAGGCCACCATGACATCAAGAGAACAAACATATTTATTTTTTACAAAAATCACCAAACCATACAGGCTTTAGTTCCGATAAGAGAAATGAAAGCTTTACTCAGACTCTGACGCCGCCTGATAATCCCGCCTTTGTTCACTTTGAAAAAGGAAAATCTGAAAATGGAGCAGAGCCCTCCGATCATCAGTGATATTAGAAAAGTGTTTCAAGCAGAAATCACAGCTTGTGTTCACCTTCGCACACAAAACACACTCATATCAGAGCAGCTTTAATGGCCGGGTTTGTGGGAGATAAAAGAAAGAGAAGGGACGAATAAAAGAGGCCATTTCAGCATCATTTCAAGCAAAAGGTGGAAGGATCCTGCTTGATGGTGGCGCTGCAGTAAAGGATCACTCATTGTTGTTGTTGTTTTTTTTTTTTTATTTGAACCTGTGCAGTTCCAATTAAAGCACCTATTATGTCTCTATGTCCCTGCTAACTTTGCACTCTTCACCTCCACTGTAGCGATTCAGGAAAACAAGAGTCAGCTTGTGATCAGCGTTTAGCAGAATGACTAACATGAGCTTCCTGCAGCTTTCAATTAAAAAACTGATATTTACATGATTCATTTTCTTTGTTTCCAGTCTGACTAAAGGCAGAAACTAGCAGGCTGGAAGAGAGACTTTTCTAACTGCATTGGGTTTCTTTATTCATGGATACTCGCTGCCTGATGTAATCACCGACACAATCATTTGCCAGTTTGTTGCCGTGTGTGAGTCTGACTTTCTGAAGCTCAGCGGCTGGTGGATCAACCTGTGGATCATTCTGACAGCTGCTGAAAATAAGTTTGGTCAAAATGTGTTTCTCAAACTCGCGGACCGGGAGCCAATTGCAGCCCACGAATGATATTTTGTGGCCCCCGTACTTGACATCAAAATTTATTGTTTGTGCACATTTTTCTCACACACGAGTCGTTGCCCTGGGCGTTTTATATTTTTATCACTTGTGGTCTACTATAGCTCAGGCTCGTGACAGCAACGCAAATTAGCAACGTTCGTCACTTGAAATGTGATTTGGGAGGGTCCCCGTGTGGAGAGGAAATACATCCTGTCCCCCGGTGCAAATGCATGTTTTTTTTTCTTTTGTTTATATCTGTATGAAAACCTCTTCTCCACCATTAACTTAAGTCAAAGTACAGGTCCAAACTTACTGATGAGCATCTTCAAGCCACACTGAGGGTCTCAATTGCTTCCTCTCTCAAGCTAAATGTGGCTCAGCTGTGTGAGAGGAAGCGCTGCCACGTCTCTGGCAGCAAGGAGGAGGTAAGAGATGCCTGAAGAACCACTCATGTTCAGAATTGTTATTAATAAAGATTGAGAAGACTGGATCAGTTGTACTTTTTCTGGAATACTTGAAACCCTTTGTTTGTGGAACACTTGATGCGGCCCAGCCTCAGGCCTCACTCAGACTCTATCTCCAGCGGCCTCCAGGTAAGTTTGAGACTCCTGTGTTAAAAAGTCTTCAGAATGACTTAAGATTTGTAGAAAAGAAGCTTGAAACTTGGGCAAACTCGGACAAATGACTTCAAACATGGAAAATAATGTAAAAATTGTGAAATATGACAAATTGGTGTCCAAATTGTCTCAAACTGTTTAAAAACACTTGAAACTTGTCCAAAATGACATCAAACTTGTCCAAAATAATTCAGATATTGTCCAAAAGAAACTCAGCCGAAATGTCTTCAAACTCATCCGGACTTACTGAAGAATGGTTACATCTGTGTACAGATTGTCTCAAAATCTGTTTAAAAAGACTTGAAATTTGTCCGAAATGACTTCAAACTAATCCATAATGAATTAGACATTGTCCAAAATCTTATTGAAAAGGACTTCAAACTCATACAAACTGACTCGAGAATGTTCCAATGGGACATTTCTGTGTGCAAATTGTCCAGCGTGTTCAAAAAGACTTGAAACATGTCTAAGATGTCAAACTCATCCAAAATTACTCAAAAATTTTCCAACATGACAATTTCTTGTCCAAATAATCTCAAAATCTGTTTGAAAAGAACTGAAACTTGTCTAAAATCACTCAAACTATTTAGAAACCCTCAGAAACTGTCCAAAGTACCTGAAGCTTGTCCAAAAATATTTTGAACTCATCCAAACTTATTCAGAACTCATCCAAACTGATTCAGAACTTGTCCTAAATGGCTCAAAAATTGTCCAAAATGGCATAAAATTGGGTTAAAATGATCATACTTGTTTGAATTGGAGTCCACAGAGGAGGATCTGAATCAAACTCCTGGATGGACATCCTGAAAGACATTGCTCCTCTGTAAACTGGTGTTTCTGCGCTTATTGCTCTGCTGCCGACTGAGGAGGGAAATTACTGTTGCACAAAGTCAGACCTGTCGATGGCAGACTGAGAAAACCTTGCTGTTCACCTACACAAGATCAACTGACCTGGAGTGGATAACTCTCAGCTCGCTATGTGCTCGGTATTAACTGTTACAACAAAGTCATTTCATGTGCTGGGAATCTCATTTGCTGCAACATCTGCAGACCAACACACACCGAACATGAAGATATCCCCTGATTCACGCATGAAAACAGGTTTATGTCATTTGCACCATTTTTGGAGTCATTATGGACTCGTTTTGTACAGTTTTTGAGTTGTTTTGGACTGAGTTATCTCATTTTTGGACTGAGTTTGAGTCAGTTTTGGAGTAAATAGTTGATATAGACACAGTAATAGAAAATATAGCAGTTTGAAGTAAATGATTCTCCATCTCCAACGCTAATCTTGAGTTGACAGTTTCAAACAGGTGGATTAAAGGCAGTAGAAAAGCAGCACTTTAAAGATGTCGGCGATGTTTCTCCGCTAAGTCAAGAGACATTGAGAGTTTTAAAGGTTTTCCCCTTCAATTCAGACTCCACAGAGAGAAGGTCCTGTGACTGACAGCGTCTGTGTTTAAGCTGAAAATTTAATGTCAAATTGAAAAATTAATCAGATCGGTGATGAACGGGGAATCTGGTCGGAGGACAAATGTCCCGTGTGATTCTCCGCCGAGCGACTTAACCTCGGCTCACACCTGCAGACGTTTAAACGCTAAACTGTAATTAGCTCAGCTGGGCTTCGCTCTGATCTGCACAGCTTATTTTTAATCCAGGCTGAGAGTCCAGTAATATGAGACCTGCCGGGCAGCGGGATGAGGAGGATGTGAGGACGGTTAGAGGCTTACAGGAGATGGAAAACGGTTAAACAGGAGCTAAACCCAGTTTCACTGTCACATTAAAACACATGCAAGTGACACCTTTAATACACGTGTCATCTGAATGCTGTCGGCCTTCTTTGTCGCACTTATCGTGTTTAACGGTGAAGCAGAGATCCGAAAAAGTGCAGAAAAGGCAGCAGCAATACAGTGAATACTACTATGAAACCATTAGAGGATGGACGTATCTTCGCCTCATCAATTTGTTTCTGTCCAAAATGAGTTTAACTGTATTACAGTCAGCTTGAGAGACTCTTAAACTGTATAAAATATTTCATGGGGCCTTTTCCAACCACCTGATAGTAGATCTTGTTGGAGCAGAAACAGTGTCATGGATGTGTGAAAAGTGAAATAAGTATAGTCGTGTTAGTTTTAGCATCATGTAAATTATCATCACTCACCTCCTTCTCCCCACAGATGTGGCTGATGGTCGACCCGGAGGCGGGGCTGGAGGCGGGGCCGATCACAGAGACCACGCCCTTTGGCAGGATCTGACACACTGAGACACAAAACAGGAGTTCATTTTAGGTACAAACTCACTTTAAGTAAAGCTGTAAACACAAAGTTTGAGTTTTATCTGCTGCAGTTTCTGCAAGAGACAAGTTATGGATGAGCTGGCTTCCTTAGTAGTTATTATTATTTGTGTTTTCCTGTTTGATTGTTGTAGACTTTTGATTTACTAAATTTTGGCTGTATATTAATGACTCTTCAGGATGTTTTAGATTATTTTGTTTTATAA